CTCCTCCGTCATATACTGACCGTTGCAGCCTCGGTAGGAAAGGAAGGTGCCGCACGACCTTCTCGGGGACCTTAGACTGTTTCATGTCGCCATCGAGCCTTCTACCAACACGAACCTAGAGGCATCGCACCGGGAGAGTTTTGCTTCCTCGAGGTCTCCGGCTGAGCAGACGCACTTTCGGACAAGCATGGATCCCCTCATATGGCATCTTAAGTGCACGAAGGAGCTTCGTGTAGCGTAGGTGTTCGTCGGCAGGACATGATCTGCCGGAAGCGGTCCCCAACAATGCTCAACACGAGATCGGGCCGTCTCGACTAATGCCCAACATGCGACTTCAACCCTATCAGGCGTGAGGACGGCATCCAGCCATGTAAGCTTTGTCTTCTCGTGAAGGGTTTTTCGTGCCGACTCCATCATGTCGTAGAAGGCCTTCGCGGTTTCCTCCAGATCTTCCTCCACATCCATTCCTTCGCCAAACCATGCTTCGTGGAAGTTCCGCCATCATGTTCCGCCATCCGGCATCGCCATCATACTCCTCGAGGACGGGTCGCACCACCTCGTCCCTAATAGGATGGTATTCACCATGGTGGCGCATAACGAGTATAGTTTGGAATGAACCCGTGCTTGAACAGATCTCTCAACTTTGAGCCTTTACTTTCTTCTTCTTGTTCCTGCACTCGCTGCAGGGACACGGCATCCGAATCGACCCTTTAGCAGCTGGGCCAAATGCATGCTCCAGGAACTCAGTCGTCCCCCTGATCCATTCGTGGCTCTTACTTGCGAAGCCCGAGTACATCCACTCACGGTCACCCATGCTCTGTCATGCGGCAATGTTAACATGTGATAAAACCAGCAAGTGCATCTACAACGCGCTCCTACCATCTAATAGGTGAAGGATAGGTCCTAATCCCACTGAGAGCATGCTTGAGCACGAAGTTAGCTTCCATGCTCCGCTCCCGTCCGAGACGGAATTTCGGCAGCACCTCCCCGCTGTTCTCCCGATACACGTCCCGGCGGGGAGAGTGTGTATCCAGAGAACAACGGGGAGGTCCTGCCGAAACTCCGACTCGGACGGGAGCGGAACATGGGAGCTAACCTCGTCTGCGCATCCTCGGGCTGTCCAAATAACGTGGACAATCCGAAACGGATACGGTTATACATATGCGAAGAACGCATACTTCCAACCGTATCCGTTTCGGACGGGAGACGCCTAACTGGGTAACGCGACCTATGACTACATGTGGCGGAAAGAGGGGTCATACCGCAGGTGCCGGTGAAGAAAGGCTAGCGGGGCAGTGCCGAGTCGTGCTCCTCCGGCTAGCCTCCAATGGGAGCCCTCCTGAAAAAGAAAAACAATTAGTGAGAACGAAAAATTTCGGCAGCACCTCCCCTGTACGGGAAGGTTACCAAACCTGCAAGAAAAGACGGCACGATGGCCGACAAACACATATACATGTCAGGCACGATGGCCGACAACCACAAATGTATTTCCAATCCATGCAGAAGAATATAAGCAGGTATTAACAAAGTAAACTACTACTACTAGTAGTACTACTACCTCGTCGTCACGGACGGCGTCACCCGTGGCAGCGTGGAGCGAGGGCGCGCGACGAGGCGGCGAGAAGGGACGGCGCAGCGAGGCGAGGATGGCGCAGCGAGGCGAGGAGCAATGGCGAGGGCGAGGACGACGCAGGCCGGGCGGCCTTGAACGGCGCGCTGGACGGCGGACGACGCCGCGCGCTTGACGGCGGACGGAGATTTGAAGGGCACGCCGGATCGGGCGCGGGCAGCGACAGCACCGGGCGGTCGAAGGCGAGGCGGCGTCAGGGCGGCCTTCTGACGCCGAGTCAGACGCTGCGGCCACTTGGCCGGGCCGGATCGGGCGGGCGGCCATTGGTGAGGTGCTCAAGGGCGGCCGGCGGCGGAGGGGCCCAACATGGGGCAGGGGGGCCGTGGGGAGGGGGGCGCCACGGGATGGATGCACGCCACGGGAGGGACCATGGGGGGGGCCACGGGGAGGGGGCACACACACATGGGAGGGGCAGGGCCAGGGGAGGGGGGACCAGGGGAGGGCCAAGGCCTGGGAGGGAGGCGCACCGTGGGAGGACCAGGGGGGGCGAGGCCGAGGTCAGACGAGGCCTGGGAGGGGCCACGGGAGGGAGGCACAGTGGGCGCCCGGGAGGAGGCGCCATGAGAGGGAGGCGCGCCCGGGAGGAGAGCATGTGGGGGGAGGAGGAGGGTGTGGATTCAGGCGGAGGAGAGGGAGGGAGGGGGCGGGGGAGGGGATCTTGTGTGCGGCGGCCGGGCGACCGGGCGTCGGCAATGGCGGCTGGCTGGTGGTGGCAGGCGGATTTTGGGGAGGGAGGGCGGGCGAGCGGATAAGGCTGCGTTTTTCTTTTTTATTATTTTTCCCTTTGCCATTGCCCGGCATGTGACGTGATCGGCAAAGGTCTATTTTTTTTTTTCAAAAATTATTTTTAATTTTTTTAAAAATACTTTGCCGATCGCTTCTGCTCCCCGGTAGTCGGCAAAGGTTATTTTTGATTTTTTCTCGTAAATTCTTTGTCGATCGCCATCCTCCCTTGCGATCGGAAAAAGCTCTTTTGCCAATCGCCTTCGATGGCGGTCGCAGAAGAATTAATTTTTTTCGATTTTGATCCAGTTTTTTGTGTTGTCTTGCTGATGAAGTAAGTACATGATATATTCCAACCGGGATCGAAAATCAATGGAATATCTTAAAATAAATCAAAATGATCCCAAACTTGGAATATATCATGTACTTACATGTATCAAGGCAACACAAAAAACTGGGATCGAAAATAAAAAAATAAAAAATTCTTTCATTGCCGGGGAGGATGGCGATTGGCAAAGCCTGCGCCTTTGCCGATCTAGCGGCGGAGTGGCGATCGGCAAAGGTGACGGTGTGGATGGCGTCAACCATGGCCTGCCTTTGCCGATCGCAATTCTTTGCCAACTGCCTGGCAGTCGGCAAAGCCAGGCAGTCGGCAAATCCTGCTTTGCCGACTGCAGGAAATTCCAGTTGGCAAAGGGACCTCTTTGCCGAGTGTCGAAAAAAAACAGTTGGCAAAGAAAATTGCAGTCGGCAAAGAGCCAGTTTCCTGTAGTGATTGCCGTTGCTGTTTTGGGATGCATGCATGCCACGACACGAGGACGCGGTTGTCATGCCTATGTAGTAGAATGCTAGCTGCTAGCTGGACGTACGTGCATATATATAATAGTGTGTATATATAATCTGCTGATGATCATGCATGATTTTTCATGGTCGTCAGAAGAGCCAACGTCTGGTGAGCTTAAGTGAACTTGTGCATGCATGTTGTCGTCTGTGGATGTTCCGTCCTTTGCTAAATTTCTGTTTGATGAGGACGAGTTTGGAGTGGGAAATATGTAGTAGGAGCTAGCCATCTGCTAGTGCTAGGTGAAAACATGGACTAAACTGCATGGCTCCAAGTTAAGGAAATTAATTATCTCAAAAAGTAAACTGCTGCTAGTACAACATGTAGGGGAAATCATATAATGATCTTGCAAGCATCCAACTTTCCAAGATTTCCTACTAAAACTTCATTACAAAGTTGAAAAATAGTAAGCTAGGGTGGCCATTCAACACAAACACTATATGTGTCCTGCATTTTTTATTTTCCTTTGCTGTATGTGTTGTCAATTTTTTTCAACCTCACAAGCAAACAGCATCGGATTTGAGTTTTCGATCTTTAGCGAATGAGTATTAGTTACAAATTGAAGTCTGATTGTCTCAACTGGGTGGATTTTTTTTTAGTTCTGAATGTGTCCATATTAGACAATGTTCATGATCTGATCTGACCCGGCCGGGTGTCGCAACAACTATCAAATTAAAACATGTCTTAAATGGAAATTATATCATAACTCTCAACTGAACTAAATTGCATGCACATTATTCAATATTGGTAGATCGCTCATGCTATATTCAGCTACACACCAAAACCCCACCACAGTGAGTCCCATGACCACCAACTCTTCACCACTCCTCACTTCCCACTCATCACACTGACCAACCCAGTTCCGCGACCCACCTCCCAGTCACTCACTCACTGAGCCAGCCAGGCAGCCACTGCCACAACGCCACCACTCCCCGTCCTCTCCACAGCAATCAGGCGGCCATGGCGACCCGCCGCTCCCCGTGGGTCTCGGAGCTCTTCCTCTGGGACTCCTGGTCAACGGACATCATGCAGAGTCGGGATGGTGCCGAGGTGGCCTTCTGGGTGGTCGCCTACCTCCTGCAGTTCAAGCTCTTCCGATCCATCCGCCTCTACGCACTCTCGCGGCCGGGGTAGCCGGAGAGGAACAGGGCCAGCGACTCCGCGGTGTTCCTTGCCGTGTGCCTCCTCGCCGTCTGCCTCCTCGGAATTAAGTTAATCTCGACCTGGCTGGTGTTCGCAGCCATCTTCGCTGGGTTCTTCCTGCTGCTCTCCGTCTGAGGACAGAAGAAGTGACAAATCAAGCGAGGATGTAACAACTGCTGCTGCCAGTGGCTAAGTTCTACGCACTCTAGCTATGTGTGTGTGCTGACTTGCTGTATGTGTTTATCTAGTAGATCTGTTGACTTAATCATCCTATACATAGTAGAATTTTGTGAGCCTTGTGGAGAACTTAAATGACTCCACGTTGGAACTAAGCTAGCTAGCTATGTGCATTTCAGCTAAATTAGTATCTCTACACTCCACCTTGGAGTCACTAGTTCAGAAAAGTACATTATTGCAGTAATTGATCAGTATATTTCGAGTTGCATTTTGTTGATTTTCACTTGAAATGTTGTTCTTCCTTTACCGATATTATATTTTACTAGGTATATGTGTGAACTCTGCCTGAACTGCAGGTCTGCAGTTATAGCAAGTTACTTACCTCTAGCTCTAGTTCACTCGCCAGTCGCCACTCGGTGCGCCGCCGCGCGAACGAAACCCCAGCCCAGAGCGAGCGGGAGGGAGAGAGCTAGCGGCCAATCGGCCATGCTGCTGCTCCTCGTCTTCGCCGCGTCCCGCCTCGCCCACGGTCGCCGCCTCGCCGACGTGGCCTTCCCCGACCTCAATTTCATCGTACTCGTCCTGAGTGTGCTTTGGTCCCACCTCTCCCCGCCGGGCTCCGCGGCGCGCCGGTGGGCCAGGTTCGCCATTTGGGTCGCCAGCTCCTCCATCACCTTGGGCATCCCCTGGAGTTTGGTCATGGTCGGGCCCCCGACTTTCGAGGCCGGTATCTGGGGCATTGCGGCCTTGAGCGTCTTGGGTCTACTCTACGTGCTCATCTTTCACTAGCCTACTAGGGGAAGAGGGAAGCGATCTCACCTGATCTGATTAGTGCAACCAGAAGTAGTACGATGCTCTTGTTCTACACGCAAGTAGTAGTATGTTGATGATGCTTGGTGCGTTCTGTCTGGTTTAATTCTCTGATGCTAGATGCTGTACGTGTTTTGTTGTATGTTTGTGGCCTATATATGCCTATAAAACCACTGATACGTTTGGGCATTGTGAGCCGTGTGGAAGATTGAATATCTGTTGTGCTGGACCTAGCCATCGGAGCTAATGCACCTGGAAATCATGTGAAATTTCACCTGAAATTAGTAGCACCCTGATGATGAAATTCAGTGTTCTGACTGAATTGCTTTGCATTGGTACGTACTTTCGCCTGAGTTCAGGTAGCGGTCGACCGAGCCTGCTCTTGTTTTACTAGCAGAACCAATCTGATGATCTGACTGGTGTGCACTGTTGGCAGACACACAGCTGGTACAATGCTTGATGATGCATGCACCCTGTCTCTGCTTAATTAATTTCACCTGAACTTAGTCGTCACCTTTGATCAATAACTTGTTGTTTCGTCCAGTTATGCACATATGCTGTGGTCTACCTGATTAAATTCAGTATTCCCGTCCAGTTGCATTGTGTTGGTCTCACCAGAATTTACTTGTCCTATTCATTTGGTGAGTGTAAAATTCCAATCTGACTATAGATTAGTTTTTATGTGGTTAAAAAGTCATATTATAAAGTCAAGATAGTAGAAAGCTAAGGATCCCTGGTACAACCTGAGAGCTTAATTCTTTAATCAATTCAAGTTCAAGTTGCTATACTCCATTAGTAATTACGAATCAAAGCATGCATTTGTAATTTTGTGTTGCACCTTCCAGCTGTGCTCTTCAGTCACCAACAACACTTTGCTGGTTGTTGATTCTGACTGCTTTTATTTGGCAGACCAAATGCATGAGGAAATTTCTCCATCTTGTTATATATGTACATTTGGTCGCTCACAACTCCACCAGGGACGAAATCCACTCTCCAAGTCATATATATATGTGTCGTCTGTGCTATCTAAAATACTGAATGTTGTACTTGTTTGGTTGCCTCGATCTTAAGCAAAGTTTGTAACGTGTCAGCTTCCTGAGATGGTTACACGATATCTTGAACTCAATCTTATTGTTTTATTTATATGTATCTATCATCCGTGTGCTGGGTCTCATTTGAACAAGGAGACGGCGTGGAGTATCTTAACAACATTGTATTATATTCCTACCTTTATACTCCCTCCGTTTTTTTACATGCTGTATAAGATTTCTTCTAAGTCAAACATTTCTATATTTGATCATCATTTTTCTTAAAAAAATATATACTTTCATAAAACGTAAATTATATATTCTAAAAGCACTTCTTACAGTAAACCTAAAACCATAAATCTTATGTTACTGATCTATATAAAACCTTTTGAAATTAATAATGAAAGGTACAAATATTTGACTTAGACTAAAGCTAATATAACATGTAAAAAAATAGAGTAGTTGCGGGTTCAACGTGTAACGTGTGACTTCAGTCGTGCCGACGATTTGTTCTAAGTCAAACATTTCTATATTTGATCATCATTTTTTTAGAAAAATATATACTTTCATAGCACGTGAATTATATATTCTGAAAGTATTTCTTACAGTAGACCTAAAAATATAAATCTTATGTTATTAATCTATATAAAACCTTTTGAAATTAATAATGAAAGATAAAAATATTTAATTTAGATTAAAGCTATTATAACCTGTAAAAAACGCTAATGCTCCTTTTAGAGTGCCCGTAGCGACGGACGCTCACGCGCTCCATTTCGGACTTGTGGCTTACGTCACACAGCCGAGGAGGCAGGCCCGCAGTCGGCCATGAGCTTAGAGCACCAGACAGGATCGACCTCGTTGTCGGGGCCGCGGCGAGGCACACGTGGATACCCTCGACGGACTGCTTCGGGGGTCGCAGCTTGCTAGCAGTGTGCCTCTCGACCTTGGCCACCAGCTGCCGTATCCTCGACTCCATCGAGCCCTTCCACTCTCGGAGCTCATCCTTGCCGCCTTCCACCGTGGCGTCCACCTGCAGGTAGCTCTTGTGCGCTCGAAAGAAGTGGAACGACCGGAACAACGCGTCCCAGCTGGCGCGGTCGACGGCGATCTCCTGGCAGGCCTGGTGGCCGACGTGGATCTGCTCTGCGATGACCCATTGCGTGGGCTCCGGGACGTTGTAGGTGCACTTCATGCAGGGTACACCGCCGGCGTGACGACGGGCATGAGGTGCGTCCAGTCGTGTGTGTTCCAGCGGCCATCCCAGATAGGGAGGCCAACCTCGGCGTCGTGCTCGATGTTGCGCATTATCAACATGACCTACAGATGTTGTGACTGATGTTTTTCGGTGTTGCAAAGGATATTTTTCGGTGTTGTTGCATATATTGTTCGGACGAGCGATCTGCATGCAACATGCCCCGATGTTGTGGCTGGAATCGGATCTCATGAGATCGAATACTAAGTTGTTATTTTCATTATATTTTTTTATGTTGCAAAAGATATTTTTCGAGGTTGCAGACATTGTTTCTCCATGTTGTGATAGACTGATGATGTTGCAAGTATTTGCAGATTGCGTTTATGTTGCGCGCAACATCAACATATGTTGCGGGGGAGTTGAGCGGATGACGTTTGCGCTCGGATGGCGGGAGTTCGGCTGCTGACTGGTGACCGGGATGGCGTTGATGTTGCATAAGATATTTTTTGATGTTGCAGATATTGGTTGTCCATGTTATGACAGACCGGTGATGTTGCACGCAGCACTAGGTGATGTGAAGAGCGTCGGACAGCCAGCGGCCAGATCGGACGTCAAGGCGCTAGTAGCGCCGTCTAAAAAATGGAAGGAGTATTCAGTCGTGCCGAATGAAGCAAATAAAGCTGGCCTTGTTGGAGAAGTAGGGCTCCGTACCGTAAGATCTCGCAACGATCGTGCCGTGTCCCACCCGTGGCGTACCCACCACCTCTCTTATCTCATCTGCGCGCTGCCGGCCTTCCTCGCCTCCACGCCCCCGGCTCGATCTCCTCCCTCCGCGCGCGGCTCTTCGCCTCGCACCCCCCGTCGAAGCCTCACCGCCTTGCCAGGCAACGTGGCCGCCGGCTCAATCTCCGACGAAGCCGCTCCTTCTCGAGCTCCGGTTTTCCTCGACGTCTTACTTCGACAGCGAGGCACGACCTGCTCCGGACACCGGCTCCCCCGGCCCTTCCCCCTTCTACCGGACGTCCCCGTGCCTGCTGACCACGTCGCCCGCCCCTACACTGGACCAAGATGTTAGCAAGTAAGAGGGGTGCTGAAGGTATCGCACAATTCTCAAACAAGAATAAAAGAAGCTGCAGCTATGACTTACCTGGGAACAATCAAGGTATTTGGAGTCAGCTGAGTGAAGAAGTTGCATCAAATTTGTCAAGAAGTGTTGTCTTACTTATTTTGACCAATGGACGCATATGTTAAGTCAATCCTGTGGCATAGCCATAGAATGCCAGAGCAATGTCACGAAGTTTGTGACATCAGGAAGTTTGGTTGAGGATTTACGGTACTACGGTATGGAAAATAAGATTGAAGTATACACTGTGAAGGAAATGTTGTCGTAGGACATCTGGAAGAATATGATTCTGAATGTCTCAGGTTGCTGTTGTCAAAGTGATTTCCTCGATCCCTTGATGTTTACTGTGTACGTCTCAATCATGGAATGGAGTTCATGCCCCACAAGAAGAAGATAGCTGCTATAGGGCGTGATTTCCTTGGGAATTTAATAGTAACTGCTGGGTTAGTTTCATACGGAGATAAAGAATGTCTTGTGTTCTCCGATGCTGATAAATGCTCTAAGAATTGGTTAGGGGCGGCATTTTTTTATTTTGATGGAAACTTTGTTGGTATGAACCACGAGATTTTTTTGCCACCAAGAATAGTTCTCGAACAGTCAATATCCACGCAAAGGAGGGCATTTCGCTATGTTGGTATGAATGGTTGGTTTGAGACTATAAGTGGGAAGCATTGGTTCCATCCTAAGGCATATGATTGTGTTGACAAGGAACTATTTCAGCATCTATACTCTTTGGGTTATCCCATTCCATCAAGGAGTATGGTCAATAGTGGCTGGGTTTTGCTTAATACATTTGAAGATGATTTCGGTAATGTCTATTCGGAAGGTGTCTGGCATCTTTTCAGGAAAAGAGTTTCTTCTGAAATATCTCGAAGTGTTGTGGCATTGGTTTCTTTCAAAGGCGAGACAAGGTTTTCTGCATGCACAGGAGTTTTCGTTGACTTCGATGATGCATGTCTGACTATTCTGACTTCAGCGTGCTTGGTTACGGCTCCTTATCTTCTCAATAAGATTGTTGAAGGCTTGAGGATTGAGGTGTTGCTCCCAAACAAACATCGTGTGGATGGGGCATTGGTACATTACGGTTTACATTACAATGTTGCTCTAGTTAGTGTCAAGAATTGCCGCGCTCGTTATCCCCTGTGAATCTTAAACATACAATTCCTATGGAACTTGAGGATCATATTATAGATACAAAGGTATTTGTTGTTGGGTGGATCTTCACATCAGGCGAATTAATGGCCACAAGTGGAAAAATCACTGCCGATACAGACAGTCTTGACTGTGGTATTCTTTGGTACTCCACATGTGAAGTCACTAAGGCTGCTGTTGGAGGCCCCCTCGTTGATGTAAATGGTAATTATATTGGCATGAACTTTATTGGATTGAATAAGGAAATAGGAACTGCATACCTGTATCGTGAAGATCTCCGCGGAATCATGGAATATTTCAAAACAAAAAACACTACGTATTTAAGGGCATACGGTTTGGAGGCCGTTGTTATTGAAGATGGCCAGAGACCAAGAAACAAGAATGCTGATACATCGCATTGCTATTAAATCTTGCAGCTTATTTATACACTTGCTGATCATTTATGTTTGGCTATGAATTATGAATAACAGATGGCCAGTTCCTG